TTATGATCTCCAGAAAAGAATTACTGAAATGGAAACTCAAAAGGAAAAAATTCATGAAGATACCAAAGAAATTAATGAGAAGAGCAATATACTGTCGAATGAAATGAAAGCTAAAAATAAAGCTGTAAAAGATGCAGAGAAGTAATTTTTTTGAAATATAAAAAGTATTTAGATTATTGAATTTTATTAGTGTGTCATGTGTCTGTATATAAACTTTTGTAATACATTTACCAGTGTATAAAATGGTCTCCTTTTGCCCTTAAAAAAAAGAAAAATTTAAATTGCCCTGCATTGAATTCATCGTAATGACAGGTGAAATGCCAAACTTTGAAGTCACAAAATAGTGGCAGATGCTACCCCCTAGTGACTGAACATAGTAACACAAAACATCCCAGCAAAAGTAAGCATTTGACCTGACAGGTTATAGTCTGCTTAAGAATAAACAGTCCACAAATCTCTTTCAGAGGGAGAATTTCAATTTTACTGTGTTCCTACTCTGTGCCAGTATTCAAGGACATCAATCTCTCTTGTCCGGGATTTTCTTTTTTATTCTTTAAGAATATTTTAATTTCCTTTTATGATAAAGTTTTTATAGACCTAGACATTATAACTACTGGAAATTACAGTATTTCCCATCCAGCTTGGAAAAGCAAAATAACTCAATCACAAAATTTAATGGCTTCCTTGAATATTGGGGGGAGGGGACGTATAAGCTTAGAATAGGCAAAGTTGTAGGATCGTTCCCTGGAAACATTTATAGAGGAAGTGTTCCAGGCAGAGTATAAAACATGGCATTAATATATCTGAATATCGAAAATAGTACCATAATTTTCTTACTTTGCTAGGAAATTGAACAAAATTACAAAATTTATTGAAGAGAACAAAGAAAAATTTACCCAGCTAGATTTGGAAGATGTTCAAGTTCGGGAAAAATTGAAACATGCTACAAGTAAAGCCAAAAAACTGGAGAAACAACTTCAAAAAGATAAAGAAAAGGTAAGTGGGGGGTGGGTTAAAAATTCATGTCCATCAGATCATGTTTTTATTATTTTTCATGGATATGCTTACCTCTTATTAACTGAGAAAATGAATTAAGTTTTGAATGTTAAGTGTTTTAAGATTTATCTCTGACTCTGATTTATTCCTGTCAAGGGAAAGAAAACCTTACATTCATTAGATCATGAATTTTAGAGCTTACAGTATTATGATTTACATTCTTGGGAAAACAATTACTAAATCAACAGTTTCATTTCAATGATAATATAATTTTCTTTTTCCTTGAATACTGGTTTTAAAAAAAAAATGTTTTTGGGTATCATAGACTTAAAAAGGTTACCTGCCTTTAAGAGTTTCAGAGCAGGAGTGACCTCTTTAAAAAAGAAAAGGAAGATTATAATTTAAGAGGGTGATTGGCTATTTTAAATGTAAAAAAGATGTAGTTCAGACTACAATGTGGAGAATGCTTAATGCTGAGGACCAGAGTCTAATCAATTAATTTAGGATTTCTCAAACTTTATTGTTCATATCTCTGTCAGTAGATACTAATATATATGATACCTGTAGCCAAATAGGAATTTCTGGGTGGTACAGTTATTGCTCTCAGCTGTTTAACTAAAAGGTTAGAAGTCCGGTTCTACCCAGAGACACCTCAGAAGAAAGACTGGACAAACTATTTCTGAAAAAATTAGCCACTAAAAACCCTGTGGTGCAGTTTCTACTCTTGACACATGAGATTGCCATGAGTCAGGGTCAACTCAGTGACAGTTGTTTTTATAGCAAGATAAGTTTCAGAAAAGCTTCGTGCCATATAATTATGACGTAATTATAGTACAGGCTCTGCTTTTACCTTCTCACTATTTTCCAAATGTATTTATTTACAGAATACTTTCTGCTTGGTACTTCTGACAAATCTTAATGTGAATCAGTGTTTGAAGAACACCATTTTGGGAAATATAGAACTTCTCTGGTACTAGATAATCAGAATAAACAAAATAACATAAGGGGTTGGGATAACCCCCAAACTGAACAGACTAAAGTGAAATGTAACTGTTTTAAAGACATTAGTTTTTAGATAAACATAGGTAGGTGATAAATGATTATTGCCAAAAGGTATTAATGGACTAGAGCGTTCTGGTGGCATAGTAGTTATAGCACTTGGCTGCTAACCAAAAGGCTGCTAACCTCCTAGTCACTCCACAGGCAAAAGATGAGGCAATCTGCTTCCATAAAGATTTACAGAGTTGGAATCAACTGATGGCAATGAGTTTGGTTTGAGTTATTAATGAAATAAAATATTAGTCCTTCATAGTGCTAAAGAAGGTTGAAATGGGGAAGATAGGAAGAAAGACCTAAAGCCCTGTCAGGGAGAATTCTCTTTCCTAAAGAATCAGGAGTTCATGGAATTAGCTTTGTCATTAGACTGAGAATATAAAGGATTTCAGTGAATGGTTAAGAAGTACTTGAACCAACTGGTTCGATTCTAATGATAATTAAAACAACCAAAACCTTGAAGGACCCTGAGAAAAGCTTTCACATTATTAATTGTATTTGGAATCTTTTTAACTTAAATTTGTTTTATAATCTTAGGTTGAAGAATACAAAAGTATACCTGCCAAGAGTGAGCATATAATAACTGAGACAACAAGTAGAAACACTGTCCTTGAGAAGGAGAAAGAGAAAGAAGAAAAAAAATTAAAGGAAGTTATGGATAGCCTTAAACAGGAAACACAAGGGCTTCAGAAAGAAAAAGAAGTAAGATTCATTATCAATTAGTGTTTATTTAGTAGCTACTTTATTTTTTACTTGAAGGATGTTTTTACAGTGATGTCAAAAGGAAGCAAAAGTTTGGACTTTATCTAAACATTCCTAGAAATGGTCAATCTAGATTCTTTGCTTTACTGACTTCTGATTTCCCAACTTAAAAAGAATTAACCAAATAAGAATTTATAGTGATAGAAGAAAAGGTCACATACTACTACTGTTGCCAAATACATAGATCAGTATATATGCCATTCCTCATTAACATTATCTCATTTTCTCCTGAATTATTATTTTGGTAACTGATATGTTATTCCTTGGTAAAACCTGGGGCCAAACTATGTATTTCTATATAAAAAAGAGAGAAATTTTGATAGGTAATGGTCATTGAATTAACTATCTAGAAGATTAAAGAACCTGACAGATTGTGCTTTAGAATGAGTTTATTCCAATGTCAGCCAACAAAACTTTGTAAGTAGGATGCCTGTGTATGGCAGTAGATAATAAGTTTTAACATTTACTCATCTAATGTATATTAAATACTCTTCGTGCCTGCTTCATCCTTTGTTAATGACAAAACAAGTCCTCAAATCCAAGTTTCTTCATCAGTACAATGTAATGCTATACATCCTGCTCCTTATGAGTGTATTAGCTTTGACCACCACCCATTAGCCAATTTGTCGTGGCTTATGTGTTGCTATGATGCTGATAAGCTATGCCACCAGTATTTCAAATACCAGCAGTTTCACCCATGGTAGACAGGTTTTCAGCAGAACTTCTAGACAAGAAAGACAAACTGCAAAGACCTAGCGATATCCTTCCAAAAAAGTTAGCCAATGAAAACCCTAAGAATCACAATGAAATATTATCTGATACAGTGCTCAAAATTAGCCCCCTTGGGTTGGAAGGCACCCAAAATATAAAACAGTGGCCTCCACAATGAAAACAGTCAATTAGCATTTCTCATAATTTCTGCAGTACACATCAAGTAATGTCTAGTGGGAGGTGCCTTGCACCTAAAATTATGAAGATTTTCAATGTAAATATACTTGAGGAAACTTTTTTTTTTTTTTAATTATGATTTGGGTGAAAATGTATAGAGCAAATTCACTTTCCATACAGCATTTCACATACACTTTGTCTCATGACATTGACCACAATTTACCCCAATGCAACATCTGCCTCCTACTTCCTCCTGATAGTTACCTCTTCCCTGTGTCCATCCCTCCATGCACTCCTGCCCCCTGAGCTGTCTCCCTGTGCATAAGCAGCCCTTCTTTCTCCCATGCTTGTTCTCTCCAAGGAGTGTATTTACCTCTGGTAAATGTTCAACTCGTGCCTGTTTATTGTTTGGTTGGAATCCACAGGTGTGGGTTCAATTCCAGACTTGAAGGGCAGCTAGAGGCAATGGGTTGGTTTGCTTTTTTAAGCTAAAGCTAAAAACAATTCTGTACCAACACTTTATAGTCCAACAATCTTTTTACAACTGATTTCATGACAACTCTGTGAGGTACATATTAGTATGCACATTTTAGAGATTAAAACAAACAAAAAGGAATGATTAATGGTGCTGGGAAAATTGGATTTCCACATGCAGATGAATCTGTCAGGATTCATGAGTCATACTATACACAAAAAACCAAAATGTATCAAAGACCTAACTGTGAAATCTAAAACTATAAAATTCTTAGAAGATAGCACAGAGGTCTGACTGTGGGGCCTAGTTGTTAATGATGTATCATCAAATATAACAACAAACCACAGGCAGCAAAAGACAAAATAGATAAAAGGGAATGAATAAAAATTACTTTCCTCAAAGAATTTTATCAACAAAAGGAAAAGCATCTATAAATTGGGAAGAAATTTCCAGGAACCATTATTATCCGATAAGAGTCTAATATCCAAAATATAGCAAAAACTTCTTTACAATAAAACCACTATGAAATTATCACCTCACTCCCATCAGAATAGCAATGATAAATAAACAAAAAACAACAGTTGTTGTGGAGGTTGTAAAGGAACTGGAACTTTTCATCCATCCTGGGTAGAAATGTAAAATGGTACAGCCACTGTGGAAAACTATTTGGCAATTACTCAAGTAAGTCAAATATAGAAGTACAACATGACCTAGCAATCCCAACCCTAGGAATATAACCGAGAACAAACAAAAACCTATATACCATACCAATGTTCGTCGCATCTATTTTCACAACAGCCAAAGGTGGAATAACAGAAGTATCCATCAGCAAATAAATGAATAAACAAAACGTGGTACAGACAGTCCCCAGACTCATTCAGACTATTAGTGACTCTGTAGGACCAAATAGAACTGTTCCATAGGGGTTTCCAAGATAGTAATCTTTCTTCCACATCTTTTTCTCACAGAGCGCCTGGTGAGTTCAAACCTCCTAACTTCTGTTAGCCGACTGATTAACCACTGCATCACCAGACTTTATTTCAGCTCTTTTAAATTTAAAGATGTGTATGTATGCTATTTATAATACTTAACCTGTGAGGTTAATGGAACTTATCATGTTTTAACAGAGTCGAGAGAAAGAACTTATGGGTTTCAGTAAATCTGTAAATGAAGCACGTTCAAAGATGGAGGTAGCCCAATCAGAGCTTGACATCTATCTCAGTCGTCATAACACTGCAGTGGCCCAGTTGAGTAAGGCCAAGGATGCTCTTATTGCGGCTTCTGAGACTCTCAAAGAAAGGAAAGCTGCAATCGGAGACATAGAGGCAAAGCTCCCTCAAACTATACAAGAATTAAAAGAGGTAAATAATCATTTCTGAGTGTCATCTGAACATTGTTAATCAACCATAGTTTATAATACACACACAGTTGTTTGGTTTTTTAAATCCAATATCAGTGTAATCTGTCCAAAAGAATGGCATTAACATTACACTGTTATATATAACATGAATTGAGACCATCACAAAAATGGAATATCAGTGTAATCTGTCCAAAAGAATGGCATTAACATTACACTGTTACATATAACATGAATTGAGACCATCACAAAAATGGAATATTCTCCCCAGAAGCATCAAACAGAATTCATGAATATAGTTTCTTTATTGGTATTCCAAAATGTTATAAATTAATCAAGATATATAGCTTAGCTCAGCAGCAGCCCCCCTTCCTTGAGTGAATTACATATCTAAAGAATTTCATAAACTAACATAATCTCCAAAGCCTCTTTTAGACAAGATGAAATGGCAATAGAAAATGCTGTTTCAAGAAAAAAAGTACTGAGAATAAGTCTTTTTCATTTTGGTAAACGCACACTATTTAATCGAGGAATTTCATGTGCGTGTAGAATTTAAATGTAAACTTAAATTACCCAATGAATACCTCTACCTTCCTTGCGATCAGTTTATTTTTGGATGACTTTTATCTATAACTTGAAGTTTTGCTTTATACTAGTGTTGGGTAATAATGGTGCTAATGTAAAGCCAGGAGTCAAGAGAATGCCAGCTGGAAAAAATAGTTGCTGCTAAATTGAATATTGAAAACACAAGTTCTGGTTTTTGTGCAGTTCCCCCTATGCTGACAGCCTTACGTTTTTGTCCAATAATAGGGCTATTATAGAAGCATCTTCTTCCTCATTTTATCTTTTTATTCTCACAACTATGGGTTTTGTTTTATCCCTTTGATTAACTGGAAAGGCAACCACACCATAACCATAGTCCTGCCCAGTCTCTCATACCTGAGTGCCATACCTTTGTCTGATTTGGACTAACACAGAACTTAAGAATTAAGACCCACTTCTTCATAATTATATAGTGCCAAATTGTGGTTTCCACAGCCCCGGCTCTAATTTTAAAATGGATTGTTAGTGTGATCATATTGCAATTGTTATTACTATTGATCCAAACCAGCAATTGTAGCTGAGTTCCGATTAAAATGTTTATTGTTGGTATTTTATTATTATTATTATTATTGTTATTGAGACATTATATGTAATTCTGTGCTACAATTAGACATATTTAAGATCTAATGCTTCTGGGATTCATTTTCTTTTCTTTACACGTTCAGAAAGAAAAAGAACTTCAGAAACTTGCACAAGAAGAAATAAGCTTTAAAAGTTTGGTTCATGATCTTTTCCAAAAAGTTGAAGAAGCAAAGAGTTCTTTAGCAATGAATCGAAGTAGGGGGAAAGTCCTTGATGCAATAATTCAAGAAAAAAAATCTGGCAGGATTCCAGGAATATATGGAAGATTGGTAAAGTAGATTTATTTAGAAATGATTTTACATTTTTCTCAAGACATCGTTGAATTATTTTTTTATCTTGATTTAAAGAGTTTTACATTGAGTGCCACTCTACATAAACTAACATTCATTTCTGTTTATGTTAAGGAACATTCATTTTAAAATATTTTACTCTTATAAAAACTCAGGCATGATAAAATTTTGTGATGTTAATTCTCTCATGCTGAAAGTAAATTGTTTTTTAGTTTGGGGTGATTACATTTGTTTTATATATACAGTGCTGAAATAAGTCTAGTTAGTGATAAATAAATTTAATTAAAATCTTTTATCTGTTTAAAAAAATAAAGATTTGATAAATTATATTCTAGGTTTTGGAAGGAAGATGGGGCAATCTACTATATATGGAAGGTTTAACCAGGGTTTATAGGCAAATCAACAAGAAGTGAAATAGAAACATTAAGTTAGCAATTAGTAAGCCCTGGTGGTGGTGCAATGATTAAAACATGTGGCTGGTAACTGAAAGGTCAGCAATATCAACCAAGCAGCCACTGGCGCAGAAGAAAGCTTGTGATACTCTACCTTTGTAAAGATTATATAGCCTTGGGGCAGTTCTATTCCATCCTGTAGGGTCCTTGACTCAATGATACACAATAACAACAGGCTAGCAATTGTGGGACTATTACATACCGGTTCTGAGCTTGAAGCCAAAAGGGAGCTGTAGCTGTTAGCCAGAGAGAGGCCAAGAGAAAACTGGGAATAACCCCGTACATCTCCAGTCCTCCAGCTAGGGACAGCAGCAGAGCAGAAAGTGGATCTAGAAGGGCAGATAAAAACAGTTGCTTCCAGGACTGCATATTAAGTGACTTCCACCTTATTTTCTTGAAGATACACAATTTGATCCTATTAATTTGCTCTTAAAGCATATCAGTGAATACTGCTAGCTAATGTATTAATAATAGGATTGATGAATAGGCAAATGTGTGTCATCAAGACTTGTATAATCTTGGTTAGCTTTCAGTAAATCAAAGTTTAATTGCTAAGTTGTATTTCTTATAGTCTTTTTAGGTTTCACATCTTCACATTTTAAGTTTCATATTCTTCATATTACATGTTTTTATTCTCATAAAAACAATTCATTCCTTTTTTGCTCTCATTAAAAATTTAAATTCTTTGCCATAAACCTTTTATTAAAGGTATATTAGAAACCACTAGTGGTGATTGCTTCTACAGAAGGGGAAGGCTGAGAGAAAGATTTTAATTTTTCGCTTGTACCTTTTTCTGTGCTTTTTTAAAAGTATATGTAGGTATAGTTCCTCAAAACAGTAATTTGAAAAATCTTTCTAAATAGTACTGAAGTGATGCTGTGCTTTTTTGCCAACTTCCTTGCTAATTACGTCTTCACTTTTTTCCTCTCTTAATTATTAGGGAGACCTAGGAGCCATTGATGAAAAATATGATGTTGCTATTTCATCCTGTTGTCATGCGTTAGACTACATTGTTGTTGATTCGATTGACACAGCGCAAGAATGTGTAAACTTCCTTAAAAGGCAAAATATTGGAGTTGCAACTTTCGTAGGTTTAGATAAGGTGAGTGTTAATTATAAGCTGCCTATCATTTTAAATGTTACAATTTCTTCACTTACTTAATGAGCACCTGATAGGTTTTGAAAATTGTGTAACCTTACAGATGAAACCAATTATGAAAAAAAAATCATGCAGTGCCTCCTCTACAGGAATATACATTCTAAGGTTAACTGATACGTTGCAGTTCTGCCTTGAGTCATCAATAACTTCTTTTTATAAAAGCTTTTTGTTGTTAGCTGCTACTGAATCAGTTCCAACTCATAGTGACCCTGTGTACAACAGAATGAAACACTCCCTGGTCCTGCACCATCCTCATGGTTGTTGCTGTGTTTGAGCCCATTGTATCAGCCTCTGTGTCAATCCATTTGATATGGGGGGTTTCCTTTTCTTTTTTTTTTTGGTTTGCTGACCCTCTGCTTTACCAAGCGTGATGTCCTTCTCCAAGGACAAATCCTTCTTGATAACATACTCAAAGTACGTAAGACAAAGTCTCACCATCCTCTCTTCTAAGGAGCACTCTAGCTTTACTTCTTCCAGGACATATCGGTTCATTCTTATGGCGCTCCATTGTATATTTAGTATTCTTCACCAACACCATAATTCAAATGCAGTTATTCTTTTTTAGTCTTCATTCATTGTCCTGATTTTTATTGAAACACCGTAAAATTCACCATTTTAAAGCGTACAATTCATTGGCTTTTGGTGTATTCACAAGGTGGTTCAGCTACTTTTAAATTCCAGAGTATCTTCATCAGCCCTAAAAGAAATCCCGTACCCTGTGGCAGTCATTCCCCACGTCCCTCATCCAACCCCAGATAGCAACCATTAATCAACCTACTTCCTCTCTACAGATTTCCTTATTTTGGACATTAGTATAAATGGAATGCCAATATGACCTTTTTTGATGGCTTCTTCTTAGTACGTTTTCAGAATTCATCCATCGTGTATTCGTATCATATTCAGTTCATGGACATTTGAGTTGTTTCCATTTTTTGGCTGCTGTGGTAGTTATCTTTGTTTGCCAACTTGGCTGGGCCTGTCTGAGTGGCTGACAGCTGGTGGTAGTATTCCCCATGATGAGACTGGCAATCAACTCCGTGGTGGGATCTACCACAAGCAGCTGAGTAGCTGCCTTTGGGGTGTGGTCTGCTTCCTGTATATAAGAAGCTTTGAAAATGGTCTCTAGCCTATGGTATGCTTGGACCCTGCATGTAGCCATGTTGTTGCTCAGCAGCCTGCCATGCTTTGCCGACCTTGGGACTTACAGTGGAGTTAAGTTAATGGCCTGCCGTGTGGTTTGGTAACATCGGGACTGTGCCTTTTTACTTGTCAACATTGGGGCTTCTCAGCCTCAGCAGCCAGTAGCTGTCTGAAGAAACACCTCTAGCTCCAATGGGCTGGGAGCAAGCGGCAGAGCTGGACCCTAAGGTTGAGGGGCTTTCACCCAGCCCCTAGGCCTAGCACTTTGAACTTGGGCTTAAAGCCTCCAGATTGCAAGAATAAACTCCTGCTTGTTAAGGCCATCCCATTTGTGGTATATATTCTTGTCAGAGTGGCACTAGGTAACCAGAACAGCTGCCTTGACAATAATGTTGCCATGCGCATAGGTGTGCAAGTTTTTGTATGAACTTGTGTATCATTTCCCTTGGTTATGTACCTAAGAATGGAATTGTTGGGTAATACAGCTATACTGTGTTTAACTTTTTGAGGAACTACAAACTTTTCCACTATGGTTGCACTACTTTGACCTTCCTACCAGCAGTGTCTAATCAAAGGTCATGAAGTTTTATGCCTCTAAGAGTTTCATTGTTTTCTTACATTTAGGTGGTTGATCCATTTTATGTTAATTTTTGTATGTAATGTAATATAGAGGCGCTCTGGTAGCGTAGTGCCTAAGGCACTTGATTGCTAACCAGAAGACTGGCGGTTCAAACCCATCGACCACTCCTTGGAAAAAAGGTTGGGCAATCTACTTCTGTAGTGATACCACCTCAAAAACCCAAGGAGGGTTGCAGTGAGTCAGTTCCAACTCGACAGTACATGGAACAACAACAACAACAATGTAATGTGGAGATCCAACTTTATTCTTTTGCACATGGTATTCAGTTGTCACAGTACCATTTATTCATAAGACTATTCTTTCCCCCATTTAATATCTGGTGTGACACCCTTGGTCTCAAACGTATGAGTTTGTTAATAGACTCTTAATTATATTCCATTGATCTATATATCCAACTTTATGAGAGTACTCAGGCTTGTTTACTATAGCTTTGTAATAAATTTTGAAATCAGGGAGTGAGTAATCTTTCAGAATTGTTTTGGCTATTTTGGGTCCCTGAATTTCTGTGTAGATTTTAAGATAAGCTTGTTAATTTCCACAAAAAAAGACAATTGAGATTTCAACAGGATTGTATTGAGTGTGTGGATCTATTTGGGGAATATTGCCATCCTAAAATCACTAATTCTTCCTACCAAGAATAGAGAATGTCAACCATTTATTTAAGTCTTTGATTTCTTGCAACAGGATTTTATACTTTTTAATGTACAAGTCTTATACTACTTTTCTTATATATTTTTTCAGATGTATGTTTTTCTTTTTGATGCTAATGGAATTGTCTTACTTTCATTTTTAGATTGTTAATTATAATGTAGAGAAATACAATTGATTGTTATTGATCTTATGCCCTACAACTTACTGAAGATATTTATTAGTTTTAAATTGAGTCTTTTATGGATTCTTTATGGTTTTTCTATATGATTTTCTCACCACCTGCAAATAGTGAGTTTTACATTAACTTCTATCTAAAAATAAAAATACAATAAAGTAATAATAATTCTGCAGGTAGATACTCAGATATTTGTATACCTATCTGCTTTTTGTGCATGTTTATTATGTCAGTACCTAGAAGAAATGGCATATCCTTTATTTTGTTTATTTATTTTTAGATGGCCATATGGGGGAAAAAAATGTCCAAAATTCAAACTCCTGAAAATACACCTCGGTTATTTGATTTAGTAAAGGTAAAAGATGAGAAAATTCGCCAAGCTTTTTACTTTGCTTTACGGGATACATTAGTAGCTAACAACTTGGATCAAGCCACAAGAGTAGCATATCAAAAAGATCGAAGGTGGAGAGTGGTCACTTTACAGGGACAAATCATAGAACAGTCAGGTAATGGTGATGTTATCCTGTCCTTAACTTTTACGTAATGTGGTGAAAGAATGTAAGTCTCATTTCTCTCGCCTGTTCTCCAGGTACAATGACTGGCGGTGGAAGCAAAGTAATGAAAGGAAGAATGGGTTCATCAGTTGTGGTTGAGATCTCTGAAGAAGAGGTCAGTATATATAAAGTTACAGTCAGACTTCTAAAAAAAAAATCATTATTGAGGTTTAACTTAACACAAAATTCACCCATTTTAAGTATATTGTAACTCAAATTTTAAATTAGTAGATTGAATTTTTCTATAAATGACTGATATATAAGCAGTATTTTTTTATATAAAACCTTAAAATTGTGAAAACATGTAATTTAGAACATATGTTCAGTGTATGTAAATTATTACATTTCGTATGGATTTTTCAAAATTTAACCATTCACTTACTGTTTTACTGTAGTTCAGAGTAATTCTTTAAGATGTGACTATAGCAAAGACTTTTGACACGTTTCCCAATTTTCTTTCCAAAGATTTTATTCCTGTACTCATTTTCTGTTCCCACCAGGAGTATGTATGAGAAGTCAAAATGTTCAGGAAAAACTGCTATGTTCTATTTTTAATCTCAGAACAGTATTTGCACTTTTTTCTTCCTTAACACACCTTAGATTTCCTAGATACCTAATTTTTTTGAAAGTTAAGTATTGCACCTTGATTTTTGTGTCCCTTATCTCCATTTAATTTATTTGACCTACTCTTAAGGTGAAGGGGCTCTGGTAGCACAGTGCCTAGGGCATCTGACCGCTAACCAAAAAGTTGGTGGTTGAAACCTACCAGCCACTCAGCAGAAGGAAGACTGGGCAATCTACTTCTGATCAGGAACCAAAAATGGTTTTTTTTTGCTCTGGTCTGCATAAGAACAGAGTTTTCTGAAATGACCCTTGGAAAACTTATTTCACTAGTACTTTTCTTTGTAGGTAAATAAAATGGAATCACAGTTGCAAAGAGACTCTCAAAAAGCAATGCAAATCCAGGAACAAAAAGTACAACTTGAAGAAACAGTAGTTAAATTACGGCATAGTGAACGAGAAATGAAGAATACACTAGAAAAATTTACTGCAAGCATCCAGGTATTCTTTTTGATTAATATTAGCTGAAACTGTTGGAATTCACCAGCAATTTTAGCATAACCATTTTGCTATTAAAACATTTAAATGTTGGGGAGGAAGAGGATAGCTTGGTAAGTGGAAGGTCTGTCTCTTGATAATTGTTTTTCCCAGAATACAAATGGATAATGCCCAGGCACAGTGTTGGTCCAGACACAGTTGTTCCCGTTTTCCATTTGTACTCCATACAGAAGTGTCTTCCCATAGCACCTCACCTAACCTAACTAGTTGCTGTTCAATCGATTCCAATTCTCAGCAACCCCATGTGTACACAGTAGAATTGCACTCTGTAGGGTTTTCAAGGCTGTGACGTTTTGGAAGCAGATCAGACTTTTCTTCCAATGAGCGAGCCCCTGGGTGTGTTTGAGCCGCCAACCTTTCCATTGGTAGTTGAGTGCTTAACTGTGTACCATCCAGGGACCTTGTTAGTGACTGTATGACACTTTATTTTCATTTTCTTTTGAAACTGGGTTTTTTTGTTTGTTTCTCTCTCTCCCCTTGATTATGAAAAAAGCAGTACAAGCCACTATTGTGGGGTTTTTGTTTTTGTTTAAGTTTTCAGAAAGTACCCAAATAGGAAAACATAATTTGTATTAATGGGTTAATAATTTGTATTGCAGATACTGGTATAAGCCAAAAAAAAAAAAAAAAAAAACCACTGCCATCAAGTGTACTCTGACTCGTAGTACCCCAATTGGGTTTCTAAGGCAGTAAATCTTTATGGAAGTAAGTTGCCCCATTTTCCTTCCACAGAGCAGCCGGTGGATTTGAACTGCTAACATTCTGGTTAGCAGTCAGATACCTTAGGCACTGTACCACCAGAGCTCCTTACAGATAATGGTATATAAATTATTGCACATGGCTTATTAATGAGATTATACTATACTTAAGAACTTTTCAAATCCACGTAATATTTTGTTTGCAGTTACTGCAGAGCATTTTGTTTGTACCACAATTCGATAAATGTTTTTCTATGCAGTATGTACATTGCTATGGTAAAATATCTTTGTAGGTAAACTGTTATATACTTTCATCCAATTTTTTCCTTGATATATTTCTAAAATTACATTTCACACACATTATGTGTATAAAATTTAAGGCATTTGTTGCATCTGCCCAATTACCCTCCTGAAAATGTAGTTCTGCTTCATAACTACTAACAGCATGTGTTAGAAACTATTTCTCCAGGTCTTTAAATAGTAGGTACTCTTAACTATGTTTTAAGTTTGCTTCTCTTATGAGCTAAAAAGTGGTATTTTAGCTTATCTTTTTAGTGAGCTTGCCCATCATTTCATTCAATAATTGGGCATCTTCCTTCTTTATATTAGTTTGTTCATGTTTTATGCCCTCTTTGAAACATTTCTATAGCGCTTGTCAGAACAAGAAGAATATTTGAATGTGCAAGTTAAGGAGCTTGAAGCTAATGTACGTGCTACAGCCCCTGACAAGAAAAAGCAGAAATTGCTAGAAGAAAGTGTTAGTGCTTTTAAAACAGGTATGTTTAAAGTTACAGACTTTTTTTTGAGATTGTTAAAAACAGGTTTTTAAACTTAGGGTGTTTAAGATAGCAGATTATAAAACAATAGCAGCTAAATATTCTATGTGTAAGTGACTGCAGTGGCTGTTTCATATTTTTGTATCATTTCATTTCAAAACAAAGCTATAAATTATTAAGATCCTAATTTGACACATACAGAAACTGAGGCATAGAGTGGTTTATATATTTGCCTAAGGTCACACAACACAGCTTGTAGTGGTATGGGAATTCAGGACCTAGGCCATATGATTCCAAGAGCCTGTGCTCTTTAATTCCCTGTTTTATGTACATTGGCCCTAGCCTTCACAAAAACCCTTCCATATAGTAGTTGATAGAATAAGAAAACTGAGGACTAGAAGAAACTTAATCACTTTGTTAGAGCATACAGGATATGAATGATAGGCACATGAAGAAAAACAAAACAGTATTTGTTTGAAAACTTAGAAAATACAGATTTTGCCTTCCAGAACTTTTGTGTATGTGCATATATTCATGTAGCCTAGAGAATTCATAAGCTAGAGGTAGAATCTTTTACATTTTATGCCTGCAATTAAAGTCCCCTGGTCATGTGCTTGAGTTGTCTGCTTTTCTATGCGTGTGTCTTCAGTTGAACATAGATGGGCATCTTACTGTGGGAGGAGGAAAGAATGGATCATATCCACACACCCGTCTAGGCTTACAGCATCTTAGCTAGTAATCCCAGCAAACATAGTGAGTCCTCATTACAGCCTCAAGAAGGAACCCTGTTCTGCTTTGGCTCATGAATACTGTCTATCCCAAGGAAATAGAGTTGGAGCAGTTATCCATATACTCCAAATGACACAGTTTTCTTCTCAAAAATAAAATAGAGACTAAAAAATCTAGGCAGACAAACAAATGTCCACCATGCACATCAAATACTCATCTATAGCCCCTTTAAAATGTTGGGTTTGGCATCTTTCTTTATAATTAGAAATAGTGTTTCTCTCACAAAAAAATTAACACAATTTTGCAGGGGACTGATACACATTTTTTAAAAACAACAAAATATAAGCATTCACTAGCTGGTACAAGCAGTTTGTATTTGACTACTGTGGTAGTTCAGTTTGTGTGTCAACTTGGCTGGGCCTGGTTGAGTGACTGAGCAACTAGATGTAGTATTCCCCTCGATGAGACTGGTAATCAACTCCATGGTGGGATCTACCACAAGCAGCTGAGTAGCTGCTTTGGATATGTGGTCTGCTTCCACTGTATAATAAGCAGCTTTGGGAATGGTCTCTAGCTTGTGGCATGCTTGGACCCTTCATGTAGCTGTGTTGTTGTTCAGCAGCCTGCCATGCTCTGCCAACTTTGGGACTTAAAATAGACTTGAATTAACAGCCTGCCATGTGGTTGGTAACATCGGGACTGTGCCATTTTATTTGTTGACCTTTGGCTTGTTAGCCTCAGCAACCAGTAGCCGCCTGAGTGAAGAGATGCCTCTGGCTTCATTGGGCCAGGAGCAAGAGGCAAAGCTGAAGCCCAAGGTCAAGGGGCTTTTACACAGCCCCTAGAGCCTGGCACTTTGAACTTGGACTTACAGCCTCCAGACTTTGTAAGAGAATAAACTCCTGTTTGTTAAGCCATCCCATTTGTGGTATATTCTTGTCAGAGCAGCACTAGGTAACCAGAACAACTGCTAACTTAAAGGTTGGCAGTTCAAACCCACCTATTGGTGCCACAGAAGAAGAGCCTGGCAAACTGCTTCCTTAAAGATTATAGCAAAGATTACCACTGTTAACCTCTCACAGGGGGATCTATATAAGAGATACTGGATAGAGTGGGAGAAAAATGTGGAGCAAAACTCAAAATCATTTTTTAAAGAAAAAAAGGACCAGATTTGCTGGTCTGATAGAGCCTGATAGAACCGCTGAGATTGTGGCCCCTAGCTGCCCTTCAGGTCTGGAATTAAAACCGTTCCTATGGCTTCCAGCCAAATAAAAGACAGGTATATGAGCTGAACATTTACATTAGGTAGATAGACTCCTTGGAGAAAACAATCATGGGAGATTAGAAGGGCTGTGTATGCACAAGGAGACGACTAGGGGGGCAGGTGTGCGTGGGAGGGAAGGACACAGGGAAGAGGTAACTATGGGGAAAAAGAGGGAGGGGAGCTGTTACATTGTGGGAGATTGTAGTCAATGTCATGAGACAAAAGTGTATGTGAGCTGCTGTATGGAAAGTCAATTTGCTCTAAGCTTTCACCCAAATCACAATAAAAATTCAAAAAGCAATAGCAAAGAAAGCTCTATGGAGCACAGTTCTTCTCTGTCATACATGGAGTTACAATAAGTTAGAATTAACTCAACAGTGATGGATTTACTGTTGTTCATCACCCAGGCTCTGTTTTAGGTGCTGTTGATAGAGTATTGAACAAAAGCAAGTCCCTATTTTCATAGCACTCACACTTGAGGAGGAAAAGAGAGAAATATACTACAAATTATGTCAGATGGTGCTGGGTTAGAAAGTAAAACCAGAGTAATGGGGCAAGGGATGAAAGGGGTCATCAGACAGACACAGTGGTCAAACAGGCCTCTGATAGGAGAATTTGAGAAGAGACTCACCAGAAGTGTGAATACTAACCATATAGGTATTGGGACAAAGAGCATTGCAGGAAGAGTACACAGGACTAAGTTCAAAGGCCCTGAGGTAGGAATATTCAAGGAGGCCAGAATAGCTAGAGTAATGAATGGGAGAAGCTAGAATACAGTGGGACTTTATTGGCCATGATAATGACTGAGTGAAATAGCCATTGGAGAGTGATGGACATGTAACTGGTATAATTTACTTGGGATTTATTTTTTCCCCTTTTGTTTTGAATATTTTGTTCTTGCAGACACTTTAATTATTCCTTACACCTACCTTTCCCCACACACCCCCACAATATTTCTTGTGACTGCTTTGATGATACTGAATGGCCAATTAAAAGACCAAAAAAGTTTATCTACACTATCTGCAGCAACATTATTTCACAAAGAGAATGCAGAAATCTGTGTTTTATTCTTGGTTTGAAAGGAAGGCTTGACTTTGTTAAGACCCCTGCATATCTCCTGTCATGTGAATGATAGTTATTACCAGTATAAAACTAGAAAGCAAAGCAGTTGCCATCAAGTCAGTTCCAATTCATGGCAGCTCCCCATGTGTGTCAGAGTAAAACTGTGCACCATGGGGTTAGTGGCTATGATCCATCAGAAATAGATTGCCAGGCCTTTCTGCTCAGGAATCTCTGAATGAATTCAAACCACTACGTTCCACAGCTTTCTGACATGCAACTGAAGGTATGAAAAAAGAAGTGGGTGGTGGTACTTGAAAACAAAGAGAGAACTGCTGTAAACGATCCCTTTTTGGAAAGAGATTTGGGGTTGGAACCCTTTTCAGCTGCATATTTCATGGTCCCCCAAAGGAAAAACTGATTATCATCAAATCAATTCCAATTTATAGTGACCCTATAGGACAAAGTAGAACTGCCCCAATGGGTTTCTAAGACTGTAGAATCTTTACAAAATGTAACTACCACGTCTTTCTCCCAGAGTAGCTAGTGGGTTCTAACCAGCAACCCTTTTGGTTAGCAGAAAAATCTGGGTATTGCCTTCTATACCAGTTTATCTTTCCCCACTATTTGTGGAGGACTGCTGAGGTATATTAGTAGAAGAAAATAACCACTTTTTCAGGAAGAACAAAGTAATAATAGTCTATTACATAGCTTATCTAAGGCTAAAAAGTAGTATGAAAATAGTCAAACATGCTAAGAAAATTTAACAGGTCTTCGAAAGGATCATAAGAGTATGAAGCCATTAAGAAGTGGGTAGGTTCATAGCTGGACAAAAGGATTTAACCATGTGTTGTTACACTTTTTTTTTTTTTTTTTTTTAATACACTTTTTCCCAAATTTACAGAGTTTCTTGTTTGGTGTACATCAGGTTAAGATGTGCTCCCTAAAGAAATTTACATCTAACAAGTCATGCTCATTTTTAACATAGAAACATGAATTGAGTTCTTTATTTTTTAATTTCAGAATACGACAGTGTGGCTGAGAGAGCTGGTACAGTAGAAGCTGAAGTTAAAAGGTTGCACAATATCATTGTAGAAATCAATAACCATAAACTCAAAGCCCAACAAGACAAACTTGACCAAATAAATAAGCAATTAGATGAATGTGCTTCTGCTGTTACTAAAGCCCAAGTAGCAATCAAGACTGCAGACAGGTAGAGTATGCATACTACCCTAACTTTTCTTCCCCTTTCCCACCTCCTCATTAGAGTAGGGATTAATATTTAAATTTAATGTGCCATTAAATATTTATCTTGCTGTTCCTTACAAATTTTATCTGACAGGTTATTACCTAATAAGAAGATATATAATGAAAGTAAACCTAGAATATATATACATTTATCACATGGATAATTTTTTTAAAACTGTTACACAGGCATGAGTTGGAAAATTAGCAGTTCTGTTTTTGTTAGGTGCTGACTCATAGTGATCCTATGTAAAAGAGAATGAAACGCTGCCCAACAGTGCACCATTCTCAAAATCATTGCCATGTTTGAGTCCATTGTTACAGCCACTGTGTCAATCCATCTTCTTGAGAGTCTCCCTCTTTTTTGTGCTGACCCTCTACTTTATCAGGCATGATGTCCTTTAACAGGGGATGATCTTACCTGGTAATGTGTCCAAAGTATGTGAAATAAAGTCTCACTATCTTCTGGTAGCATAGTGGCTAAAGCACTTGACTGCTAACCAGAAGGCTGGCGGTTCAAACCCACCAGCCACTCCTCGGAAGGAAGGTTGGGCAATCCTACTTCCGTAGTGATACTGCCTCGGAAACCCAAGGAGGGGTCGCTATGAGTCAGGGCTGACTTGATGGCACACAACAACAACAACAACAATCTTCATTTCCAAGGAGCATTCTGGCTCTACTTCTTCCGAGACAGATTTATTCATTCTTCTGGCAGTCCATGGTATATTTATTTAATATTGTTTCTCAACACCATAATTCAACTGTATTGACTCTTTGGTATTCCTTACTTGTCCAGCTTTCACATTTTAATACTCTTTTCTCCATTAATCATGTTGCTGCTTACTGGTCCAGTTGTGAGGATTTTTGTTTTGTTACATCACTCATGCATTATGTAAAAAAAGGTAAGACTGGGATCACTTAGCAAAGTGAATTGCCTTCATTAAATTAAATTTTTAATTAGCTAGAACATTCCATTGTCACAGCTTACCACCACCAAAAATATTTTTCATTTCATAAACTGACTTAAAATTTTTCTTATTTAAGTATTCTTAAAATAAAGCTAAGTATATATAAAATGTTAAGATTTAAATAGCTACTATTGCTATTTCATTTCCTTCATTTTAAAACCTTTTAAAAGTATAACCAACTGAGTATATATTGATCATCTGGTTGGTAATTTATTCCTGCAACTATTGTTCAAAGATAAGCAATCTGTTTTGCTTATGTTGGGAACAGAATTATGCCTAAACTAAGCTAAAGAAAGTAACTTTATCAAGGGAGTAATAAATAATAGTCCGTGTCCTCCCATCCTTTTGGGAAACACTTCTTGCCCTGGCTGGAACTAAGTTATTTAAACTTAGTTTTTTGTTGTTTTTCTTTTTGCAAATAGTACATCCACGTAAATAATAAACACACACATAATGTGTAGACATGATGAAATTATGAAAAAAACTGAGTTCTGACATAGTGTGGCTATGCATGTACCACGTACTACATCTCATGACATTTCCAGAAGTTAATTTCAGGCTCGTTCAGTAGTCTGAAATGTTGCTTTCAATCATCATAAAGATAGAAGCTATAGTCAAGAAGTCATGGATCAAGCTTGGTAGGTCCCTGGTAATAGGCAAATAAACAATTGAAACTGCATTTGTTTCTATTAATTTAATAGTTATATTCTTACTGCTTTTGAGTCATCAATCAGAACCTTTAACCTGCCAAAACCTATCCATAAATCACATGCTATCCCTTGGAAATTTAAAGAAAGTGACGTCTGCCCTGACATAAATGGTATTGAGTAGCTATCGAGGAATTTCGATTCAATCTGCATTCACATAATTATCACAGTCATCATCCATCTCTGGCTTTTTATTGGAGGAGTAAACAAGCAAAACTGATACACAGTAACTCTTGGCTCAACAGTTGAATGAGTAAACCTTATCATTCATTGTAAGTAAAAACATTAGGTATGTTAGGTCTACTTATTTCATAGTCTGATTATGTCATATTATTGCCAATGTCTTTGATAATGATCATAAGTCACCTTAGTCATATACTGACGAGCTTATTTAAAGATCCTTACTTCTTTTACACCTCACGTTTGAATTTCTTGATCTCCACTAGAACCAAAGAGCTCTGGTTAAGGCATTTGACTGCTAACCAGAAGTTCGATGGTTCAAACCCACCAGCTGCTCTGCAGAAATAAAATGAAGCAGTCTGTTTCTGTAAAGATATACAGCCTTGGAAACCCAGTAGGGGTCACTATAAGTAGGAATTGACTCAGTGGCAGTGAGTTTGGTTTTTTGTTTACTAGAACCAGCTAGTTATCAATTATGTTGTGCCCATTTTTTAAGTTTATAAGTCTGAATCTTAGATACCTTTAGGAACATGTGAAAAAAAAAATAAACACAAGTCCTACAGCATCAACAAGATGGATTGACACAGTGGTTGTAGCAGTGGGCTGAAACATACCAGTGATTATAAGGCTAGTACGTGACCAGGCAGTGTCTCATTCTGTTGTATGTAGGGTTGTTGTGAGTTGGATTCAACTCAGTGGCACCAAAGAACCACCCCCACCTATACCACCAACTTCAAACTGAATGTCATAAGGATGGAAGAAAGGGCAGCAAGAGAGTTGGATTGTTAACAGAGTTGTTGATTCACAAGCAGAGAAAGGAGCTGGGGATAATGAATCCATGAAAACATCAACAATTATGGTCCCAAAGTGAATGGCCTGAGTTGGTAAACAACGTGAAAGAGTGAATTATTATATTCTGAAAGGGAACAAAATCAGGCTGTCTCTATAGTAACAATTCAGATCAAAGCAAAGCTTCTGGCAAATGAAAGAGGAACCCCAGATTTCAACGTGGCCTTCACCTGGATTTCCAGTTTCATGAGAAGGATTGGCCTTTCCGTGAGAATGAGAACCATTGTAGGCCATTAATTTCTGGGCTTTGAAGGGGTCCAAGAATTGGATGATGATAATAAACTAAAATGGTCTATTTTAAGATGAAAGCACATTTTATTTGGTTACTTTTATTTGTTGACTTCAAAGACATTATCAAAAATGATGTTTAAGATTCATGAAAGAAAGAAAATAGAAACATCTTGTTCTTGTAGCTTTAGGCCTAGGATCATTTCTTAACTAATTTCTAGCTCTTCATGCATTCGCACTCTTTGGTTTTAACATGGTGTTCTATTTCCAGCACCATCTTGTTCAGTTCACCATTGGCTGCACTTCGTTTAGGAAAATATTTAACTTTAAATGAAGTTTCCATGAGATCAGTTTTGTCCTGCTAATGTTAAAATGCATTGGACAAAAGAAAAAAATTTCAACATGTTAAAGAGATATTGGTATAATACACTTAGGAAAATAATGCAGGGGTTATGAATGTAATGTACACCTTGTTTGTATAAAAATACGGTAATGTCACAGATATAGAGATTAAAGAATCTCAGATCTGATGAGAATATAATAATTGTATCATATTCTCATCAGATCTGAGATTCTTTCATTGAATGGACAACTTTGCCTTGAAGTCTAAGGTTGGATGACAATAGAATCTTATATAAAATTGAAAGTTTAATTTGTAGTAAGAGTTTAATAAGATAATGTAACTTACCCCACAATTGTTTGTATAGACATAAAACTGATTCAAGAATGGTTTAGTAAATCATAAGAAATCTATGATAGGGAAGAAGTCACATTGAATGTCATGAGGATCTCTTTGGTACAGTTTCAGAAGCAGAATAACAGATGATCCATTATTACATTTTTAATGTATCATTTCCTTGTTTAGAAATCTTAAAAAGGCACAAGAGTCTGTCTTTCGCACAGAGAAAGAAATAAAAGATACCCAAAAAGAAATAGATGACTTAACAGTAGAGCTAAAAAGTCTTGAGGACAAAGCAGCAGAGGTTGTAAAGAACACAAATACTGCAGAGGTAAGACTTGTTCTATATTGAAAGAGGGGAGGGTATGGTATTTGGAATAATTTAAAGAGTTGGGTATCACTGTCTTGCATATACTAAACATTAACATGGATAAAAAGTTCTATATTAACTGATTTGTACAATTAAATACTATATACTAGAAAATACAAATATTTATGATCCTGTACCCAGAAATAATCACTTAATGTTTTGTTTGCCCAGTGTAATTAAATAGTGAATTTGGATAAGGAATATATATGGGTACTTTGCATTTTAACTTTTCTGTAAATTTAAAAGGTTTGTTTTTAATTTCAAATGGAAGAATGGGGAGAGATTACTAACTCTTTATCTTTGTAACATTAAAGTACCTGTTCTGTCTGGGAGGAGTCCCTGGGTGATAGAGATGGGTAGCACACTTAACTGCTAACCAAAAGGTTGGAGTTTGGTTCTATCAAGAAGCACCTCATTAAGAGAGACCTGGCAATCCGCTTCAGAAAAAATAGCCCTTAAAGACCCTATGGAGCCAAGTTCTGACACACATGGAGGTCCCCATGAGTCAGGATCCCATCCATTGAACAGTAACTGGTTTTCTGTTTGGAAAGATTATCTATAGCATTTCTTCTTGATGTTTTTAGGAGTCCTTACCACAGATCCAAAAAGAACATCGTAATCTACTTCAAGAACTAAAAGTAATTCAAGAGAATGAGCATGCTCTTCAAAAAGATGCACTTAGTATTAAGTTGAAACTTGAACAGATAGATGGTCACATTGCTGAACATAATTCTAAAATAAAATATTGGCAAAAAGAGGTGAGACTGTTAGCATTTAAATTTCACTTACTTTAAAATACATCTTTTATGGAGAAAAGTTTTTTGTTTTTGAAATATGTTGTGATTCTTAATTCCAGGATATAAACACTTCTCAGGTTTACAGGAGATATAATAATGTGTAATGATCAAAATATACATAAAAATCAGGGTAGTGGTTAGAACTAGTCAACTGCAGTTTCACCCAAGGGATAATCTGGAAGTTTTCACAAAACACTACATGAACACTTTGGAAAGTTACAGTATTTCTAAGTCCTTTAAAAAACTGATACACAAATTCATTAAAACCACATAGCATACTGTACACTGTTGTGTAATTTGTCATATATTGTTGATTTTTAAACATTTACCTATAGTACTGTACCTTCTCTAACATTCGTTCAAAATAAACTTTTAGATCTCAAAAATATCATTGCATCCTATAGAAGATAATCCTGTTGAAGAGTTTTCAGTTCTAAGTCCAGAAGATCTTGAAGCAGTTAAAAACCCAGATTCTATAACAAATCAAATTGCGCTTTTGGAAGCCCAGTGTCACGAAATGAAACCAAACCTTGGTGCTATTGCAGAGTATAAAAAGAAGGTATGGGGGAAGTATTATGTTTAATGGTTTAAAATTCCATTTTGTCCATAGCCTTAATTGTGAAACTTCAATTTTATATAATTAACAATGTTGATTCTCACCGATCAGCTCAATTTTACCAGAATAGATGGTTTTGTCATAATATTCTTTTCATAGGAAGAATTATATTTGCAACGGGTAGCGGAATTGGACAAAATTACTTCTGAAAGAGATCATTTTAGACAAGCATATGAAGATCTTCGGAAACAAAGGCTTAATGAATTTATGGCAGGCTTTTATGTAATAACAAATAAATTAAAAGAAAATTACCAAATGCTAACTTTGGGAGGTGATGCTGAACTGGAGCTTGTAGACAGCTTGGATCCCTTCTCTGAAGGAATCATGTTCAGGTTTGTGATTATAAATGTAATGAGTTTAGAATTGCACTGTTACTTATCTTTACATATTCTCCAAGCTCTTAGTGCTTCTTGGGGATGATATGAAGGTTAGGTCTAAAACTTGTTTCACTTAATGTTAAATATTAATTTGTTCACATACTGATATTTTACAGCATAAATTTTAATTCAACATCAACTATTTAAAAAGTAAAAAATACAATTGGGAGAAGACAGAAGAATAGTGAAGCTATTTATTAGCCTATTTAGTAGGTCTGTCTTTGTTCATCCTTAAGTAATATTGTGAAAAGCAAATTAGAGTCAAGGTGGTAGAAGCCAGTTGAAAATCACAATCTTAAATAATTTCACTAAAAGATTTTTCTGATTTCAGTGTCCGACCACCTAAGAAAAGTTGGAAGAAGATTTTCAACCTTTCTGGAGGAGAGAAAACTCTTAGTTCACTGGCTCTAGTATTTGCTCTTCACCACTACAAACCCACTCCTCTTTACTTCATGGATGAAATTGATGCAGCCCTTGATTTTAAAAATGTGTCTATTGTTGCATTTTATATATATGTAAGTAATCATTTAGACGTTTTCATTTTGAAAATTTTATATAGATTTGACTTATTCCTTACTTTTGAGCTTTTTCCCTGTTCTCTTAACTCCATGTCCTATGGTATGAAAGCAGGGTCCTTTATTTTAACCAAATATTTCTATTTAGAAAGGTAAAATATAAATTGACGATGTGAGTTAGGCACCAATAGCATCCCAGGTCTGCTGCATGAATCTTTTCCACTAGAGGACTTCTAGGCAACCATGCTTCCAAAATTTCTGAATTCCTCCCAAAGCCAAATAGTTATGTGCATTACCCATGTCTCATTCCTGTTTATGTTCATCAATGTAATGTTGAATTTATGGCCCAAAAATAATTTTAGAGAAGTGAAAGCTTGGGTGTTCATTATATGCCTTTACCTTTTGTAACAACATTTCTAACTTTCCCTTTCTTTCTCTTTAGGAACAAACAAAAAATGCCCAGTTTATAATAATTTCTCTTCGAAATAATATGTTTGAGATTTCAGATAGACTAATTGGAATTTACAAGACATACAATATAACAAAAAGCGTTGCAGTAAACCCAAAAGAAATTGCATCTAAAGGACTTTGCTAAACGTCCTAATACTGAAGATTCATCAAATTCAATCTGCAGTTTACATATTGTTTTCTTTTTGTAGATGATCGTATAAAATACATGTTCCTAAACAAAACAATTTTGTGCTGTTAATTTAAGACATGTTGTAAGTCTAATAAAATATTCCCAATACCCACCCAGAGGAAGTTGTAGGAATCTGACAATTTTCTAAGCCACAGATTGAACAAATAGGATGCCAGGAGGGTTAGATGACTTGCCTTTATTTCCAGGTTGCTACCAGCAGACCTAAAAGTGTCTTAATTGATGCACAATAAAGTTCTAAACTAGATCCAGTGATCAGAGCTCAAACATGTCTCATGTACTTTCAGTCTGCACTGGAAAAGCTGCCAACTAATCTTGAATCGGGAGCTCTGGTAGCATAGTGACTAAGGCACTTGCCTGCTAACCAGAAGGCTGGCAGTTCAAACCCACCAGCCACTCCTCAGAAGAAAGATAGGGCAATCTACTTCCTTAGTAATAACTGTCTTGGAAACCCAAGGAGGGGTCACTATGAGTCAGGTCCAACCCGACGGCACATAACAGCAACAACAATCTTGAATCAGTTCTTAAAATTATTTGAATTCAACTCAAATTTAGATTATCACTGTATTACCCAAAGAATAGAAACAACTTTTTGATCAATCAGTCTGAATTATAGGAAAGGGAATTGAAGTATCTTAATATGGTGTATCAGATTGGCAGGCCCTATCATACTGTAATAGGCCCGTGAGTGTTACAGTAGTACTGGAAATAAATTGGCAACCACTTGCTTTTTAGAAGATAATCTACTATTGAATCAAGTCTTTGCCCTAGCTAGTTAATTTCTAGATATATACCCTGAGAAATTAAGAGTTGATCAGCCCCATTCAGTGCATCGTTGATTTTTAAAAAAAACTGCCGTCAACTCGATTCAACACATAGCAACCTTTCCTTGGCATTTCTGAGGTGGTATCACTATGGAAGTAGCTTATCCACTCTTCCAGGAAGTGGCTGGTGGGTTTGAACCACCAGCCTTCTGGTTAACAGTCAAATGTCTTATGCACTACACCAGAGCTCCTTGATTAGGCATTAAAAGTCCAACAGTTTATAATATATACCCATTAGCATTTAAATATATTGTTATGTGCCATCCAGTCAGACCTTGGGTTTCAAAGACAGTATCACTACATAAGTAGATTGCCCAACCTTCCTTCCAAGGCATGGCTAGTGGGTCTGAACCGCCAGCCTTCTGGTTAGCAGTCAAGTGCCTTAGGCACTAAGCTACCAGAGTTCCTTGTAAATATATTAGTATGGATTTAAAAATCTAACTCAAGTACATTCATTTACTTATGTAAAGATAGTCTTAAAATTTAATGGATATACACTTTTGTAACTAGAAAAGGCTCATTTTAAAGTGCTTTTTCATTGGTGAGGAGAGATGAAATTTGATTTACATTTTGATAATCATGGAGTTCTAAGTAGCTCAGTATAAAGTTTTAAATACCCATAACCATGAAAATTCCAAAATGTGAGCACTTTTTAAGCCACTCAATACAAGTGAAGTAAAAATAAGTTTATTAAAACACTTGCTATACATGAAACCTAGAAATACTGCAAAAGTTACACAGTCTAATCTTTCTTGTAAAAATATGAATAGCAGTAGGTATAAGAAAATCAGTTACTTGGTATTTGTATTCATGCACACTGCATAAAATTTATCAAAAATAATTTTGCTAAGAAGTTACAGAACAGTAATGTCGAGCCTAAAATGTTCATAGGCATTGTATGTACTTCAAATATTTAGCTATAAGCAATTATTAAACAGATTGGAAGTAAATGAAACTACTACTGGCCTATTTAAAGCCAGAATGACGGCATGAACTCTGAAGAGAATGATTTTGAATGGTTTCTCCCACATACTAACTATATGGCCTTGGGCAAGAGACTTCTGTGCCTGTTTGCTTCATGTATAAAAAGTAGGAATCAATACCCATTTCAGAACTATGGGATTAAGTACTTTATACAAAATAACATCGCAATGCTTACAATATTTTAAAATACATGGCACTTTTGTGTTAAGACTTAATAAAACCATTGCAACTTCAGTCTAAAGTTAATGTATTTCCATTTCCAAGTAGCTGAATAGATATCTCCCTCCACCCCCAATTACACCCTTCACGTCTCTTTGCCCCCACAGGAATTGTGGTAGGCATTATTCTGATTTTGGTCACAAACGGCATTCATATGGCCACCTTGGATCGAACTTCTTTGTAAAGGACTTGTTTTCAGCAATAAGCCCTTAGTAGTGCCTTGTAAGTTATGGCCTTAATACAGCCATACTTATTCATTATAACTTCCTTATATATTATCTGTAGACCAGCAACATTGTCTAGCCTGACCTTGAAAGTCATCTTGAACTAACACTCCTAGAGATGTAATCAAGAGCAAAAGCCTATTTTGGAATTTGGAAAGCAATAGTTTTTGCCCTTAAAGTTGCATGGACAACAGACCCAAAAGTCCTACACATGCATCACTGCTCCAGTCACTGAGAGGACTAAACTAAGGAGTGTAACAGCTAGGTAGGCTTCCTTTAAGCACAATTCAAGGAAATTAGATAAAATTGTTGGTGCTTTGGTATTAGTATATGTTTAGGAGATAGAAAAGTTATTCAGTTTTTAAGACAGTTCACATGAAGACATCAAAATCTGATAAGAATGTAGTATGTCACCAACTCTGTTCAAGTAACTCAGGTATGTTTTGAAGAGTTTTTACACAAGAACTAATTTAACTAGTGGAAAAACTAAAACTACAAAATCAAATACAATCTTTACATTTACAATAAATTACAGAATATGACAATTAGAAAATGTCATTCCCTAACTAAAAGCAGTAGTACCTTTATTTGGAATTAATATTTATAAATATTTTAGGGCTCTTTAAAATACATTAGATGTGTGGCTCAGGAAATGTTTGATCAAATAGATCTTTAACATAAGCACTGCTTTAATCACTTTTATACTGCACTTCTTAACACCTTTATTCACCATTCAATAGCTTCAAGCCACATAAAGGCATAGACACTTTCCGGATCCTGCCATCTCTTAAAAGCCACACATACATAAAGAATTACAAAGCCAACCACTGCATTATATATAATTAGAGTAAAAGATAATATTGGTACAGGGTTGTTTAAATGTAACAATGCAATATTAAGTCGATTTCTGCCAAGTCAAAAATGTGACAATTTTAATAAATTATAAATATTAAATCTTAATAATTTAAATGTTAACAGGCATTCCATGTCATTGCTAATTTTCACACATTTCTATCCAAGTATGAAAAGTATAACAAATACTTTTATGTATTTGATGCCACTTTAAAATTTAGCTTATTTATCCATGCTTTTCCTATTCATTTAATCTCTGCAGTATAGCATAAGCCTAAGTAATTTAGATATGAATTTTCAATGAAGTTATTTTCCACATGAATTCCTTCAGCAAATATAAAGTGTGAGATAATCTATCCTTTAAATCATACACATTGCTAGAAAAACTTTGATAAACAGAGAGGGACACTTCAGAAAAATATATTGAAGTGATTTCATTTAAAAAGATGATTATGTGTTGATTAAAGAAAAGTATCAATATCAGTATCACAGAAATTAATGTAACTATAGCAATATTCAAAATTTTAAAAAATTCATTTTCATCCTTATCAGGCCAGGAGGATGGCATCCTTCTTGACGAAATTTTCATTTCAGGAATGACGACTTTGTTAATTTGTCCAATTTCTGTTCTGCACCATTCTTCTTTCAATACTTGGCTTACTCGAGGATAAATTTCAACAGGTTGGACCTCAGGAAGTGGTCTTTGCTTCAAGATCTGCACACGCTGACGGACATCATCAACTTTTTCAAGAAATTTAAGTGGAGCTGCTTCTTGCAAAGATGTTGTCAGTGTCATTAATTCAAGCTGCTCTTCTCTCATTTCTTTCATTCTTTCAATTTGTGGAGTATATTTTTGATTAATCAAATTTCCAACATCACAGACAGCAGTTAGGAAAATTTTTTTCTTCTGTTCTAATGTATCACTAAGCTCCTTAAAATAATGGAGAACAATTTCCTTATCACTTTGGACCATTTTCTCAGAATGAGATTTTTCTTTTTCTAGCTTTTCAATAAGTCGGGTAAGATTTGTCCAGTATGTGTCAGTTAACTGTTCAAGCAGTTTTTGAGGGGTGTCCTTTTCTTTCAGATAGGCACTTTGAAGATCATCTATAGGATGACCATGATGTTGACCTATGGTGAGGCAATGACCACAAACTAATTTTTTATCTAGTAGACAATAAACATTTAATGGTTGCCTATAATGTTCAGAGCAGGTGACAATATCTGGATGGTCTTCTTGCTGGTACTTTTCAATAATAGCCCTTAGTGCGAAATTAACAGGCAAAGACTCAATACCACTTGGAGCGATTTCAATAATACTTCTGCAGTTAGGGCACTTAAGTGGAATTCGTAAAGGTCTCCATATATGAAAGTGGCCAGATGCCTGAAGAACGTTTTCTAAACAATTTCTACAAAATGTATGAGAGCATGGTAACACACGAGGATCTTCAAAAATACTGTAACAAATGGGACATGTTAACTCATCCTCAAAATTGTGCATTTCCTGTCAAGAGAAAAAAATTAAAATTTTAAGTATAAATATTACAAAGACACTTGCACACTTTAAGTGAAGTTGGAGGAGTTAACTGCCAAAATGTTGACATACTGTACCATTTAAAACCACTCGTCTCAGTTTATCATACTGTGGTGGCTTGCATATTGCTAATACACTGAAAAAGCTATGCTACTAGGATTTGAAATACCAGCAGGATCTCTCATGGTGTTCAGGTTTCAGCACTGTTTCCAGACTAAGACCAGGTAGGAAGAAAGGCCTGGCCATCTACTTCTAAAAATTAGCTAATGAAAACCTTGTGAATCACAACAGAACACTGTCCAACTCATTTGCTTGGGATACCCCACCAGGAAGTATCGATCACGTTTGACTAGATAAGGAAGAGGACATCTATCCTGTTTAGAAGGCCAATGAGGGCAAGAGAGACGTTCAGTGAGATGGACTGGCACAACTGCCACAGTGATAGACTCAAACAAACCAGCAATTATGAGGATGGCACAGGACTGGGCAGCATTTCCTTCTGTTGTACATGAAGTTACCATGAATTGGAGCCAACCCATCAGCAGCTATTTTATCTATCCACAGCTATCATTTAAAAGAGGATCATTAAGGAAGGTTATCTACTGAGATAAAATAATGAAGCTTTCTTAGCAATTCAATTCCTGTATGTTGTTTGTTGTTAGCTGTCAAGAGTCAGCCCCCAACTCCTGGTGATCCCATGTACAAACAGATTGGACCATCATGATCTTTTGGAAGTAGATTGCCAAGTCTGTCTCCTAGTCTTAGTCTGGAGGCTCAGGTAAAACCTGTTCAGCATCACACCAATATGCAAACCAGACAGGTGAGGGCTACACCTGAGGTACACTGAGTGGAAATCAAACCCACGTCTCCCACATGCAAGACAAAAATTCTACCACTAAACCACTACTGCCCCCAATATATAATGAGTAATTGATCATCTTTAAAAGCTTATTTCTTTGGAGCAAAATTCATCCTACACAAAACAATTCCAATAAATTTGTCATAAAATGCTTCAAATTAAAGACAATTAAGTTTGTTTCCATGTAATGCAAACCAAATAAAGTTTTTCTGTTGAAGTCTAATAAGTACACTATTCTAAAATCAAAATAAACTATACATATATAATGTATATAATGAATATGTTAATTTGAGCATTTCTATTAAATAATATTAGGAAGCTCTGGTGGCATAGTGCCTAAGTCATCTGACTGCGTTCAGAGGCAGTTGAAACCCAAGGAGGGGTCGCTATGAGTCGGAACCAACTCAATGGTTATAAGTTTGGGTTTTTTGGGGGTTTGTTTTGGTATTAAATAATATTACAAGGTAGGCCTAGGGAGGAAAAATGTATTCTTCAATTAAAAAAAAAAAAAACATGCTCTCATATGGCTCAATCATCATTTCTAAAGCAAGTTACATGAATTGGTATCAACTTAGACAATGGATTTGATTTTTTGGTTTTAGTAATCATTACTGTAAATCTTAGCTTCTTAAATTAAACTACTAATTAAAGCCCAAACTCAACATGGTGCAGTTTTCTAACGCAATAATTTTAACCTGAAGGTTAGGAAGGGGAAAAAAATTAATTGCAATGAAAATCAGTATGAAAGAAGTGTTGACAGTGATAGCTATAAATTACTTAAGTAAGTGAAAAACAAGCATTAGTGGTAAAGAACATAAAGACCACCATCTTACCTTCATGAAAAAAAAAAAAAAAAAAAAAATCCCTTGATGAGTAGTTTCCTGAAATGGTTCCGAGCAAAGGTTCAGAGACCCTCTCTGACACAAGCAGCTTGACCTCTTGGTAAGGTAATCCTGACATCTCCACAGACACTTGACAGTTTTGCACCCTATTACCTCTTAACAGTTTTCCTTTGTACCTATCCTCAATGCAAGTCCCGGTCCTCAGGACCTTTTTAGTGAAAAATCAAGTTACACCACTGTTTAAAGAACCTTAAAAAATAAACCAGGCGCCATTCATGTAAAATACATCCATCCCTCACCTGACTGACATGATTAGGTTCCAAAGCCCAGGTGGTTATGTAAACTTTCTTAACCTATAGCATTCTGCAGCTCCCGGCAAACTAGCCTTCAATGATGGTGAAGAGGCGGCAGAAGAAAGGAGACCCTCAGGCAGCGGCTTCCAACCCTGCCCCCCCTTCACTGCACTCTTCTGCTCTGTCCCTCCTACATCCTATACTCCTCTTCCACCTGCACCTCTTAGTCCTGTGTCCCTCTGGGGTCCCTCTCCTTCCTAAGACCCCCTTCCCTCTAGTTATGTTTCTTGGACAATAGGAAACACCTATCTCTCCCGCACACCCAGGCACCTCTTCTCCCTCCAGGACCCCAGGTCCCTACCAGCTGGGGTTTCTATGGGTGCACAAAGGTTCCTCATAGGACCACCACCTGGCTGAGGAACCTGCTCTTTTCTCAATATCGCTCCCCCCGAACTTTCGAGCTCCTCTCTATGCTCCCAAGAGCCATCCCCGAACTCACTGCTCCAGCTGGTGCTGCAGAACGTGTGGGCTCCCACACACACCCGCGTCTGCACCCAGGTGAAAGCAGGGTGGGCCTCCCTGCTTCTAGTGCTGTTTGTGAGTCCCAGCCCCTGCTTCTCCGGTACCACATGTCAGCTTGCAGAACTTACGCAGGCCCCACACAAGCCCCAGGCTGGATCCTCTTGCACCCCCTAGACCCACCCGCCCTCCTCCAGCACAGCAGGCCCCAGTAGAGAGCCCTCACGCACTGCCGCTGTTGCTCAGCAACGCAGGACTGAGCTTGCGCGCAGCTTTTGCACCCACGCTCACCAATTGCCCCTAGCCGGCGCAACCACTCCCTCACCCGACCTGAGGCTGAGCGGACCCACCGCTCCAGATGGTGTTGCCTTCCGAGACACCACTCACACCGCAGCCCATTCCCTAACGCACACCCCTACCCGCCTCAGTCCCCTGGTCCCCCAAGTGGAGGGGGCCGGGACTCCCTCAGGCGCTGCATACAACCCTCACCTCTGGACTTTTACATTAGCCTGCTGGGTAGATTTAGATTTCTTACTGTTGTCATAAACCAAAATGTGATAGTGAGAATTAGGTGTATAAACATTATCAAATCCTCCTTTCTAAACTATAAGATAAAAAGCTTAAGGAAACAGCATTTAAAATTATGTTTGAAATATATTTTGTTTTAAATTAAAAAAAAAAAAAATAGGCTTTCATTCTGGGCTCCTTTCACCATCTGCCAAGCCAAACTCTTTCTCATCCTTCAAGTCTCAAACTGAGCCATCCCCCAGATTAGGTCCCCTGTTAGGGAGCTTTGGTAGTGTTATAGTTCAAGCATTCAGCTGCTAAGCAAAAGATGAGTAACTAATTGGAACCCATCAATCACTTTGCAGAAGATGAGGCAGTCAGCTTACAAAGATTTACAGCCTTGGAAATTCTATAGGGCAGCTCTACTGTGTCCTAAAGGGTCCAATGAGTAGGAATCAACTCAATGGCAATGGGTTTGGTTTTTTTTTTTTTTTTAGTTAATCTCACTGAACACTGTACACTGTGCTTTTCCTGCATAGCACTTAACAGAATTTTATTTGAAATAATTTTGTAACATTTTTATATACATTAGAATGTAAGCCTCCCAATAAGGGCAAGGGCTGTCTAAACTATAGCTGTATTACTGTCATCTAGCACAAACCTGACACTACTGTCAAATTTACTACTGGTTTAATGAGCAAATGCCACTCAAGAGACAAATTTAATAAAATGTCAGATCTTAGTGCTTTTTCTTTAAGAGAACAAATAAGGTAAAATCTCTACTTTGCCTAGAAAAAAATTTTAACTGTAGAGTCCATTAGAAAATACTTCCTTAAGACTGGCAATATTCAGAACTCTAATGAGCCAAATGTGCCACATAAAGACTAAGCTTAAACTGTGCAGCATTCCAGGAAATCAAGATAATTGGGCAACAATTCAAAAGATGACATTCACTGAAAATTAATTCAAGTGAACACACATTGCGAAGACTTCATCCTATACCTACATGGTGCTCTGAAAGTCATACAAAACCACCCAAGGAAAACAAACATGTTCTTGGGTATTTTAGTGATGTAAGAACTCACAATAAAGGGATAAACAGAATAGTACTTTGTAAAGAAAAAATTTAAGCAGTGTACATACATACATTCAATCTAGATTTAGTTTTTGTTTTTTTTTTAATTGTGATTTGGGTGAAAATTTACAAAGCAAATTCACTTTCCATAGAGCAGTTCACATACACTTTGTCTCATGACATTGACCACAATTTACCCCAATACAACAGCTCCCCTCCCACTTCCTTCCAACAGTCACCTCTTCCCTGTGTCCATCCCTCCATGCACTCCAGTCCCCCGAGCTGTCTCCCTGTGCATAAGCAGCCCTTCTATTCTCCCATGATTGTTTTCTCCAAGGAGTGTATCTACTTCAAGTAAATGTTCAACTCATATGCCTGTCTTTTATTTGGCTGGAAGCCACAGGTGTGGGTTCAATTCCAGACCTGAAGGGCAGCTAGGGACCATAGTCTCAGTGGTTCCACCAGGCTCCATCAGACCAGCAAACCTGGTCCCCCCTTTTTTTAATTTTCCCAAATGATTCTGAGTTTTGTTCCATATTGTTCTCCCTCTCTATCCAGGATCTTCTACATAGATCCTCCTCCCAGTGGTTGATAGTGGTAGCCAGGCACCATAGTTCTTCTGGTCTCATAGTCATATAGGCTGTGGATTGCATGGTGTTATCAGTCGCTAGGACTAATTGTTTCCATGAATCTTTGATTCTCTTCTTTCTTCTTTGCTCTGGACAAGGAGAGTCCCCTGGGAATTCTTACAGATCATACAAATACAATTATAGGACCATTGTCTGCAAACCCTATACATAGTCTTGGGTATACTCCGTATTAATATTAGAGCTATATAATGTTTTAGGTAGATAAGCTAGCCCTAAAACCTT